TTTTCCATTTTTACGAAAACCACAGAGGCGTCTTGTTCAGCGTGCTGTCAAACCTACACTAGCAAGGAGATCGGGCTGAAACTATAGCTACAAGCTATCCAAGGATGGTACTATAGAATGTCACCTCAAGGTAGGCCTAGTGGCGTCATCTCTTGGTTAGGCCGGAAACTTATCAATCCACCCTCGTATTAGCAGAAACAAATATTGTAGTCCCACTACATATTACTACTTGAATATATTTTATTATGCCATAAGCACGAATTATCGTATGTTTAATAGAAATTTGAATGACGATATCGTACATCGTATTTGAAGCAAAATTATCGTATCTCCCCAAAATTATCGTACAGATTGGCAACGCTGGTCAGTACTATTCATGAAGCATTTCCTAGCTTCACAAGGGCGTGTTCAAAATGCAGCAAATGAGTACAGTCCCAAGTGGAAATAGGAATGAAGATACGTCCATTCCCACACATAATTTACTGCGAGCTTTGCCAATTTTGATCGTCCCAACCATATACCACAAATTTCAAGTTCCTACATTAGTCCGGAAAATACCCCCAAAGTGAAGATAATCTTCTTTTCCAAATGCAGTTTTTCAAAGATAGAAATCGTTCCAACATCTGAACTAAGCTGAGGTATGAGATTTTAAGATGATTGGCTTTCTGATGGAAATGCAAGGCTTGTATACTAAAAAATTTTCTTGCTACTTTTGCTTATAATACACGAGAATATATAAAGCGCATTACCAACAGTTAATGTGGTCCAATCGAACTGAATTCCAGACAAAGGAACATAATGTTTAATGGGAACCTATTCTAGAACCCAAAAATGTACTGTTACCTCCATTAATTACAAAGTTAGGAATAATGAAATATTTTGTGAAGATTCTTCATCAAAATTATAAAGAGTTCACGCTATCAGCTATTAAAAAAAAGCTATCACGAAATTATCCGAAGCCAAAATGAAAGCGGGTAGTTTCGTTGGGCCACAAATAAAAAAAAACTACTGGCCAGTGAAAAACTCATGCTTCAATTACTTAATATCCGTAAAGCTTTGTAGTAATTTGTAGATTTTTCGGAAACAACACAGCAGTGAATTATAAACGATTGATTGAAACGATGCTTGGAAGCTTTAAACGTAAGGATGTATTCAAACTCTGGAAGCTGTTCTTGCACTTCTTGAATATTTATGAAGTCTTTGGTTAATATGCTTTATAATTTGCAATATAAATGATTGACCACATGTGTTGAACGATTATTGAATCAATTAAAGTTTAAGTACGTATTACCTATAAAATTTTTATGACTAAATTTAATATTACCGTCTACAGATTATTTAGCGTAATGAGAATTTCGTAACTACTTTATCCATAAAATGACCAGCAATTTATTATAGGTTAGGGTTAAGATAAAGTTTTAATAGCTAATGAATATTTAACAGTCGCAATGTGAATTAACTAAACAATGGTCTACATCCTAAAAAATTACAATGTAAAAATGAATTACTAAAAAAATGCTTTAGTAATTTTTTTCTAACCGTAAAGTAAACTACAGGGTGTAACAGAAATAAGTCAAAATATTTGGATGGTGTAAAGTAGATGTAAAAACAGTCGCACTTTACAATTCGAAGCCGGTCCTGCGCGTGATAAGTGTCTATCGAATAGCGTAATGCTATTAAAATTCTGCAATTATATGGATAGAGAATGTAAGCATTAGGAGAAAATCGAACGTCTACAATAAACTTACCAAGAAAGTCGAATAAGTCTTCAAAAATTTCATATCACACATTTACTAAAAACAATTCTTGCAATCGCGTAGAATCTACGACATGCAAATTTTCGTCCCACCAATAGTGATCATTGTGATAAATACCCTGAATCACACTTAACCTAATCTAACAAATAAACAACACATGAGAAAAATACAAAACAAATACTACACTGACGTTGGTATAATCACCAGCTGATTGAGTGCAGCGTTGCGGGCCGTATTTCTCTACCAGGGCCGGAATTGAATTTAATTGTACATTTTCTTCTGTTACACCCTNAATTGCACTTTTTTTTCTTTGTAAAATGTTTATTTTCGAAATTTTATTAAATTAACCGTTTCGGGAATTGCAGTGTGAAAAATGTTAAATCGCGCCGTCTATATATAACGTTATTTATTTTAATTTGATTTTTAATATTTAGAGTTTACTTAATTTCACTACTAATAATTTTTATGTTTCACCAGATCACATTTTGGTCTGTGTCTCGTACAGCCAGTTATTTACTACTTTTTGTATCAAATTAACTTTTAATATTGTTTGTTCTCTTGAGGAAATTTTTGTCTTGAGTGAAAGATAACTTTCTTGTATCCTCAAGTCGCACGCTAAATTAATGGCGAGCGATCTAGTTATTGCTTTTCGGTAGTAAAAACACTTGCTTTTAAATGAACTATTTATTTACATATACACTAATTGAACGTGTGTACTTAAAACTTATAACAAACATATGAAGGAAATTAAAGTGGCTAATAATGAACGAAAATGAATCTATCTTTTTTTTGCTTTAGTTCTTGATCTCTATGAATCTCTCCAAAATGAGCCGTTGCAACCCCTTTTATTAGGAATGGTTGACAGAAACCACCCCACTCTTATCATACACAAAGAAATAAAGTCGAGCATACAAAACAATAAACTTTCTCTTAAAACTGACTCGACGAACAAATATACAATGTAAACAAATAATGGCACTAGAAAGCCTGCTTCTTAATTTCTAGCTACCCTAATAAAACAATAAATTTAAATTCAATAATACTAATCCTAGCCTAGCAAAGTAACACTAAAGGGTCGAAGTGTACTACACAAAAGATCTATAAACGTATCTAAACATGAAACTTACAAAGAAACTAAAAATAACGAATATCATAAAAAAAAGGTTAAAATTAACGAACAAGAGGCATTATGTTACACATAGATACTATAAATTAAAAAGGTTTATACTGACAGGGGTTGCTACGCTATATTAAACATTGACAATTTAACAAAACTTTACTTCCAACAATAGACAAACATAAAACTTAATATTGTACGGTGAACACCGAACAGTACTATTAGGAATACTGCAACTATTCGAATCTGCATTCAATGCCGCGAAACATCCGCATCATTTTTAATCTGCAAAAAATCAATGTGGAGCTCTGCGAATGACGTTTGTTTACTTACTATTCGTTGGGTACATATTGACACATTATCTATTTTTCCTCAATTTGCGGTCAAACATAAAAGCAAAACTTTTGACGACAAAATAAAGCCGAACACAAACAAAGAACGAGAACTATCACAATATACATAGTTTGAGATCTGTTTTCGACGGCGTCTATTTGAAACTTGTTAAAGTTAAAAATAGGTAAATAAATCACGTCCAAATGGTCCCGATAAGAACAACTTTTATACGAGTTTTGTTGAATCGGTAAAGAAGTTTGACACAACTCCATCGAACTCCCTTTACTTATTCGATTCATTTCAAATTTGTTCAAGATATCCCCAAATCACGAACGCAGTGTGCTTTATTGTTTAAAACTGTAAAATACCAATACATTTAACGCAGCAATAACTAAATATCTTTTTCTTTCTGTTTACAGTGATTTTCTGGGTACTAGCCCTTGATCACGACCTCCAAATAGCTTCCGACGTGGTTGGTGAAATAAGTGTGAAAGATCCTGCAGGATCGAAAGTAGCCCTTTGGGGCCAAGTGCCATTAGACGAAGGTAATTGCGTTTTCCTCAGATTTCCCCAAAGAAAGATAACAATAATCTCGATAATAAAACAATTTTTTGAAATTGACGCTTACTGTACGTAATTAAATAACGTATACGTCATATGGGTCAGAAAATCTCTAGAATTGGAATATTGAAGCATTGAAGGTCCTTATGATTATGATGAAAAAATTACAATTTTCAAATATTTTTCGTCATTTCTGCAATTATTATTGAATTGAAAGGTTTTTAAGTTCTCTACAACTTTTGTGCAAATTATTTTTCTTATTTTTCAATACAACCATTTTGTTAGACTATAGAACAAAGAAATAAAGAAAGGGTATTTTGTATTTCTATATTGGCCCAGAATTGACCTTAATATTAAGGATTAGCTCGTAAACACTGTGCCTATGTTTCTATAATTTTGCAGTAATTTTTCCAAATAAATTTTTGAATGTTAGTGAATTAATTTTTGAATTAATTTTACCTACTACAGATAACCTCAAATTAATGAAGAAAAAAATTGTTGCTGGTGTCACTCCTTTACCGGGAATCGAACCTCGACCCCTGGTTCTACAGTCTTCTTTCATTAAGCTACAAGGAGGTGTGAGTACTGGTGAGTAAAACCAGGGCCCCAGGTTCGATTCCCGGCAAAGGAGTGGCTACAGTAACAATTTTCCTCATTAATGTGAGGTTATCTCTAATGTGGAAAGTTAAGTCAAAAATTAATTCACCAACTTTGAATTAACACTTTAAAAATTCGATGAATTTCATAAATTTCTGAAATCGCAAAGAATTTTGAATTTTTAGTAGTCGATTTAATATAAATTATTGTAAACTTTATGTACAAAAGGTTAGAAGTTACAAATGGTGCAAGAAAACACGTATCGTTAACAAAGGGGTTTCCTTTTCATAGGGACTTCCCGTGTAGATTAGGTTGATAGGTATCAGTAAATCACTCGCTCATGCCAAACTAAAGGTAAATACCTTTTCGTGAAATCTGAACATGTATTGATAGCTAAATTAAGCCTTTATCAGGAAGTTGGTAAGCACACAGGGCTTTAATTTACCGGTAACTAGGTCAAATTAAAGTAGAAATTGCGGATTTCAGGCTTCGCAAGGACAGGACAAACTAACGCAAGTAAATCTATAATCGGCTCTTAAATTGATTACTTATTTATTCAATACATCAAAATACTGCTTCTTAAATGTTTTTTTGTAGTAAAATTTCCTTTTTTGAGGAGTAGGTATCAATTTTTATTCGGGCTTTAGGGTCGCTTTGTCTTAAAAATTACCTCCCTGTTCTCATTCCTAATTTAAGCTGTATTTAGGTCTTTTCATATTTGACTTCGCTTTTTCTGTTTTTTTTTTAACCTCCAGATATTGGGTGTTACTTTGAAACCGGCACTCCGTATTCCCTTGCGGTTTGCTTTCCCATAAAAGAAAAAGACCCTTCTTGTCATTCTTGTAACATCCCAAGAGCGGTTTTCGAACGTTTCTTTTTCTCAAAAATTATCTCGTTTATCCTATCAAACGTGGATGTCTGTCAGAGAAAAAAGTTTATGATGTTAGCTATGTATTTACCTTGAACTTTCATCTTCTCTTTCGAGTTTTTACGAGAAAGAAATTAAACAGAAGCCAGTATCGTCCGTGACCGAAATACGACCAAGTGTGTCATTTAATTTTACCTATAATAGTATTGCATCGGCCGGAAATCGAGCGGTTTTTAACAAAACCAAATTAATTATTTACTCCATTGGAATGAGGTGACTTATTATGAAAAATAATATTCACCCTGCAATTTCATGCTATGAGCTTTCACGGCCGTAGAAGTGCTTGTAAACTTTTCTTTATGGGATATTCCACCACGGGTTATGAAATTCTTCAGCGATGTCTTCGCTGCGTCTAAGCCACAGCAGATCAGTCATCAGGAAATGCCGCATGTCTTAGCATAAAAGGAGTTGCTGTAAATTCCGTCCGAAGTATTTTTACTGCCCTACGTAAAATTCCGTCCGACATATATACTTCATTTACTTTCTCTAGCGATGGGCCCCTTCCAATGTCTTGGATGCGCGTTGGCAAGATCGTAGGTAGGGAGAAAAAAGCTCATTATACTCTCGACTCTTGTTCATTAAACATACTTTTTCATACAGTACCTGCCATAAGTTTTGTTCAATCATGAATAGTAGTGCGAGTCGAAAACAAGCGTTNACTACAGGGTGTAACAGAAATAAGTCAAAATATTTGGATGGTGTAAAGTAGATGTAAAAACAGTCGCACTTTACAATTCGAAGCCGGTCCTGCGCGTGATAAGTGTCTATCGAATAGCGTAATGCTATTAAAATTCTGCAATTATATGGATAGAGAATGTAAGCATTAGGAGAAAATCGAACGTCTACAATAAACTTACCAAGAAAGTCGAATAAGTCTTCAAAAATTTCATATCACACATTTACTAAAAACAATTCTTGCAATCGCGTAGAATCTACGACATGCAAATTTTCGTCCCACCAATAGTGATCATTGTGATAAATACCCTGAATCACACTTAACCTAATCTAACAAATAAACAACACATGAGAAAAATACAAAACAAATACTACACTGACGTTGGTATAATCACCAGCTGATTGAGTGCAGCGTTGCGGGCCGTATTTCTCTACCAGGGCCGGAATTGAATTTAATTGTACATTTTCTTCTGTTACACCCTATATAGTCAATACTTCTGTTCTACAAAAAAAGATCTTTCTACATAAGTTATCAATTATTCAGTAGGTACCTTTTTTTAAATATGAAAAGTGAAGAATTAAATACTCCGTGGAGTTGCGCGAAAGGTAGAACAATACTTGTACGTATTTTGTGGAAATTTTAAACTATATAAAATATATACTTTAGCTTTAATGAAAGACAAGTATATATTTTAGCAGAAGGCAGTAAGTACTTGTTTGTTCTCTTGAGGAAATTTTTGTCTTGAGTGAAAGATAACTTTCTTGTATCCTCAAGTCGCACGCTAAATTAATGGCGAGCGATCTAGTTATTGCTTTTCGGTATTGAAAACACTTGCTTTTAAATTAACTATTTATTTACATATGTACAAAATGAAACGTGTGTGATTTAAACTTAAAAAACAGATGAAAAAACAGATAAAGGAAATTAAAGTGGCTATTGAATCTATCTTTTTTCGTTCTAGTTCTTGATCTTTATGAATCTCTCTCAAATGAGCCGTTGCAACCCCTTTTATTAGGAATGGTTGACAGAAACCACCCCACTCTTATCTTACACAAAAAAATAAAGTCGAGCATACAAAACAAAAAACTTTCTCTTAAAACTGACTCGACGAAAATATACAATATAAACAAATAATGGCACTAGAAAGCGTGCTTCTTATTTTCTAGCTACCCTAATAAAACAATAAATTTAAATTCAATAATACTAATCCTAGCCTAGCAAAGTGACACTAAAGGGTCGAAGTATACAACAAAAAGGAGCTATAAATCTATCTAAACATGAAACTTACAAAGAAACTAAAAATAACGAATATCATAAAAAAAGGTTAAAATTTACGAACAAGAGGCATTATTTACACATACTATAAATTAAAAGGTTAATACTGACAGGGGTTGCCACGCTAATTAAACATTTACAATTTAACAAAACTTTACTTCTAACAATAGATAAACATAAACTTAATTTTATACGGTGAATACCGAACA